ACCCACGTGTTCAAGGAGTGTGTGAATGAGTGAGTGAATGTGTGTCAGTACGAGTGTGAGTGTGTGTGTGTATGAGTGTGTGAATGCGTGTGTGTCTATAGGAGTGTGTGTGTGTCTATAGGAATGCGTGTGTGTGTGTCTATATGAGTGTGTGTGAGTGTGTGTATACTCAGCTCAGTGTCTGGTGCTTACAGCACAGACAGCACAACTGTTCACTCATTAACAAACATATTAAGCACATGCCATGTGTTAGGTTCTCTGTTAGGCATCAAAACAGGAACAATGTAAAGTGCTGGTCCTATGGGCTGGGTTTTTTATTTGTCTAATTTTTAACAAGCTTTATTGAGATATAATTTAAGTATCATAAAATTCACCTATTTAAAGTGTATAATTCGATGGTTTTTAGAATACAGGTAGTCCTCGACTTACGATGTATTCGAGTTACAACCAACCTCACTTATGACTGTTTTTTTGTAAGTCTTCTTGTTAGTTAACACGCTGCAGCATTTTGCTGCTGCTATCATTCTCAGATGCGAACTCACAGATGTTCAGTTTTATGATTTACTGCTCGAAACTGCTGGATTTATAAAGATACTGATAATAAAAGGCAATAATAATGAAAATAAAACAGAATAAAAAGGTATTCAACTTATGTCAGAACGACTTATGATGGAGTCGTTGGAACAGAACCCCATCATAAGTCAGGGACCACATGTATTCAAAGGCTGCGCAACCATCATCACCATCTCATCTGAGGACTCCCATGCCCACTAGGAGTCCTTCCCCGTTCTCTCCCTCCGCAGCCCTAGGCAGCCGTTAGTCTACATTCTGTCTCTGTAGATTTGCCCATTCTGGACCTTTCGTATAAATGGAATCATACGATATGTGGACTTTTGTGACTGTTTTCTTTCACTGCATGATGTTCTCAAGGTTCATCCATGTTGTAGCACGCATCGGTACTTCTTCATTCTTTACTGTGGCCAAATGATATTCATTGTATGAATATACCATATTTTTTTAATCAGTTCATCAGTTGATGGACACTTGGTTTATTTCTACTTTTTGGCTATTACGAATAATGCTGCTCTGAACACTCGCGTGCAAGTTCTCGTGTGGATACATCCTCCACTGAGTTTTGTCCTGTGATGACTTGTGAGTCTGTCCCCTGCTAGACTGGGCACTGCTGGCATACTCAGTTTCTCTTCCGCCCCCAGCATGGTGCCAGAGACAGGATACAGAATCAGCACTTGGGCAGTGCTTGCTGAATGAATGAAGCGAGGAAGGAATGGAGGGAGTAAGAACATCTGCCGCACTTCTGAGGGTCGGGGAATGGGAGAACTCACCCTTCTGGCTCGGTAGTTTTGGGATCCGGCACACCTTCTTCTTAAGCTTGGTCTTCTTGGTGGGCTGGGCAGTGGTGGGAAGAGCATCAACTACAGAAAGAAAACAGGACACATATCTTAGTCAGGTAAACACTGGGTAGACTTAGAGATAAAATTTAAAACTGTATGCCTGACATCCAGGTACTGAAGTCCTTACGACTGCTCCCTGGGCTGTTACAGGGGTTCGTGATCACAGAGAAAAAGAATTTTTGATCTGCTGTCCCAGTTCTTAAACGTATCTGAAGGCTTAGGGGTGGGGGTCAACTTGGTGTCCTGGAGGGAGAGGGGCCCCACTGCAGAAAGTGCAGGCGTGGGCAGAGCCTCATCCCTTGATTAGCCTCTGCGTGACTGTGGGCAAGTGACATAACGGCTCTGCCTCAGTTTCCCCATCCGCTAAAATAAAGATGCCCCACCTCCTTCTTGTGGTTGCTGTAAGAAGTACAGTGTGCCCAGCAGCCTGTGCAGACCAGCCCCTCAGCCCACCCTGGCAATCTTTAAGCAGGTGGAGGAAGCTCCTAGAAAGGAGGTGGGTGCCCTTTTCTGCATGGACACCACCATGCAGGATGCATATTTGGGGATTTGTTTTCCTTCTCAGGTGACCTTAAAAATCATAAAATATCATAGTTAGAAGGGACCTTCGGTCTAGTTTCAAACTTTAATTTCAAAGGTGATTAAGGTGATTGCCAGAGAGGTGAGGACTGCCCTCGTGGAAAGTACTGAGCTGGGACCCTAAGCCCCTCTCCTGACTCTTGGGTAGGGTGCTCCACTCCTTCATTCTGACCCCGTGTCATGTTCTAAAGTGCTGGGGCGCACAGTGGGCGAGCACGCAGAGCAAAGGGAGACACTGGGATTCCAGGGAAACCAGGACCGTGCCGGTGGGGAACGGCATGAGCACTGGGCACCACTGAGTCCTGCCTTGCCTTTGTGGGTTGAGCAAAGAGATTTCACGGAAATGATTTTCTGCAAAATGGTAGGAGACGGAAAAGGGTGACACCGTGAACCTAAACTCTAGCGCCAAGGGACAGAGAGGGGCAGCCAACGAACCCGTCATTCGGGGGCTGGCATCTTCCATGTAAAAAGCGGACCCCTTGAATTTCACCTCCCTGAGATGCCTCTGGAAAGTGGAGAAAACATTATCTGCTCTGTCTGCTTTGTGAGCTTTCCAGGCAGAGCCAGTTAGTTAGAATGAACACTTACTAAGTTCCTACCATGCGCTGACGGCAGTGCCAAGACTTCAGTCTAAGTTTATTCAATCTAATAACTTTTGGAGTAGGCACTGTTATCCTCATTTTATCCACAAGGAAACCTAGACTCAGGGAGCTGAAATAACTTGCCCAAAGTGGAAACCACATCAAACCAAAAACAGAAGTTGCCTTCAAGTCGATTCCGACTCAGGAAAGACAACATCAGCTGTGGTGCACGGAGTCTGCAAGGAGCCTGGCCCTGTGCTGGATGACGCAGCACTCTGCTATCTCGTTTAATCCTCGCAGCTTTATACACGAGGACGCAGAGAAGGTGAGATGACGGGTCAGTGGTGAGGCCCACGTGGAGCCTGGACTATAGTACCTCAGTGCCTTGGCTGGGCACAGTGGCCTGGGTCTGGTGGGGGCCTTTGAGGAAAGAGTCGTGCTGTTTTAATTTCTTCTTGCCTGCAGGCAGATCCGTCTTGATTCCTCCTGCCCCCCAGCTCAAATCGCTCTTCTCCTTGAAAGAGACAGGACTGTTGTGCCTATAATGTGCTGAAGGGGCCTGAGAAAAGCCCTCTCTCTCCCCAAACACATCCGTCACGCTCCTAGTTGCCCCCTTTAAACTGCACTGCCTGCCGGGCGCAGAAAGGAGTGGGCTCTTGCCCCAGATGCCCTACTGCCCATCTCTGGGGGCAGACAGGATGGCAGCAAGCACATGCTCTGGGGAAGGACTGCCATTCCCGGGGTGCTGGGATGGTGAGGGAGGCTGGAACCATTGCAGCCAGGAGTGGGCTGTGGTAGAGGTGGTTGGGAGGCTCTGAAATCAGTTTTGCTTATTCCAACATCTACTCTTCTCGGACCCTGAAATCTCACAAGTGGGAAGATGTGGGGCTTGTAGGGACACAAACAATAAACCCAACCAAAACCTCAACCCCTCCCAAAGCTCCATTTCAATACAGGAATCAGTCAGCTCCCAACTTGAGGGACACCTCGGCTTCTGCCCTGAGCTCACGCCCCTCCCCAATCACCCAAGACCCGAGGCTGGAGTAGGGGGCGGACGGAGGCATCACTCCATTCCTTGTCTTCCTCATTGCACCTCTAGTTTCTCTCCCTGAACCACCCCACACTGAGCGGTCTAGTTTCTGAGGGTCTCCTTGTGTTCTGAGCGTCCCCAGCCTAAGAAGAACCAAGGTGACCAGGAAGCCGGCAGTAGGAGGCCTACAGAAGGTTAGCCTAGCCAGGGGCTTCATAGGGCAGGGGGCTAGGCCAGATGAAGGCCTTTGAGACGTGATTCCTTTGCTCCCTTGGTTAATCTGCCCTGTGTAATACGGTGGCCCCTCGCCACATGTGGTTACTGAGCCCTTGAAACGTGGCCAGTCAATTGAGATGTGCTCTGTAATTCATAATCGACTCGACGGCAGGAGGTTTGGTTTGGTATATGTAGAACACACATCGAAAGCTTAGGGGGAAACAAGGATGTGAAACACCTCAGTAATAATTTTATATTGGTTACATGTTGAAATGATAATATTGTTCATACATGAGGTTAAATAAAACATATTATTTAAATTAATCTCCCATCTGTGGCTCCCAGTATATTTCTATTGGGCATGCTGACTCGACTCCTGGAACTGCAGCTTCTCAGGGCAGGAGGGATCATGATAATAGAGAATTTTCAGCAGCACTGGTCTGGGCCCCGGTCTTCTCGCTTCCTGCACCTCAGGGTGTGGGCTGGCAAAATGTGAGGGCAGCACCTACCCTCCCCACCACTGCCATCAGACATGTTCTCACTGGGTACGTTGGGGCCGTGAGAGCCTTCTTTCCCTGTACGGCACCCTCCGGGGGTTTCTGAGACCACCATCAGGCCGGTGGATGGAGCCCAGTCCAGCCACAGCCTCAGGTGGGTTTGATGTGGCCTGAGGCCAGTCACTGCCCTGTCTCCAAAAGAAGCAGTAGGTCCATCCCTGACCCTGATCCGTCTCTTTCAGCCTCATCTGTGAAATGGGAATAAGACTAGTCCCTCCCCACAGGGTGGCTGGTAGCATGGAGTGCGATAACTAAGCGAAGCCTTTGGGTGTGCTCGGCCCTGGGCAAGGCTCCGTATGGTGCTACTGCTCCCGGCTGTCTCCCCTCCAGCAGAGTGGGGCTCACTGCGAGGGAGGCAGCCCAGAGCCCGGCCCGAACCCCTGGCACACTGTAGGTGCTCACTGCTTGTCTATATTCTTACCCACGCTCAGCCGAGTTCCCTTCCCGAATATCAGCTGGGGGTTCCCGATGGTCATGCAGAAGTACGTGCCACTGTCCGAAGTCTCCACCCTTGTGAGGCTGAGAGTGGACCATGTCCTATTATAAGACACATTTAGCTTCTCCTGCTCCACCCCCTCACCAAACACAGCCTTTTTCACGGGATCCCAGATGGCTAGAGGCAGGAACTCGGGGTGACTTTTTGGGCTTGGGTCCTGGCGCTGTCTCAGCCAGTAGACGCGTGTGGTAGTGGAGGTTTTCATATCACAGGACAGGGTCACCGTCTCGTGGATCTGAACCATTTTAGACTCAGGCGTCTGGTGGAATGCCGAGCTGCCCGGGAGAGCTACGAGAAGCCAGAAACAGCAGAGACCATCAGGACGTTGTCCTGGTATCAACTGTGGGGCCTCGGAGTCACACTGAGTCACAGGAAAAGCTGTGGAAGAACCTGCCCCGCTACAGAGTCCAGAAACCCATTGCCGTCCAGTCGATTCTGACTCCTAGTGACCCTACAGGACGGAGTAGAACTGTCCCATATGGTTTCCAAGGAGCACCTGGTGAATTTGAACTGCTGACCTTTTGGTTAGCAGCCGAGCTCTTAACCACTGTGCCACCAGGGCTCCACAGGGTCCAGGGGCTTGTTAAATGTAGCTGGTGACTCCAGGACTCAAAGCAAGACAGTGTTTGCTACACCCAGCTTTACAAAGGGGATGGGGGAGACAGCTGCCATGTGTTGATTTCGTGCTTAGACACCTGGGCTATTGCACAAATTATCTCAATCACGCCTCAAATCCGCTTTGGGATCTTCACCCCCATTATATGGATGAGGAAACTGAAGCATGAAATTACTTGTGCAAGGTCCCATTTATAGCTAGTAATCATACAGCTAGGATTCAAACTCAGGGTTTCAAAGTCTGAAGCCAAAGCCGAACGCCTTTCCCCCGGCTCTGCTGCCACTCTGTCTAGACCTTCAGTAGGCTCCAGGAGGCTGAAGGAGACACAGGACAAGCTGGAGAGGAGCTCAGGATCACAGGCAGAGCACACGGCTGGTCTGGCCGACCTTCATGAGGATCAGCCACCATCTGGACAGTGACAGCAACCGGCAAGAGGAACTCACCATCCCCTGGTGGGCACAGTGACCGTCCGTCACTCCCCACCCAGCAAGCTCCTCATCCATTGGACTGGCCACTGGACCTCCAGTCCCGAATGGAAGAGGCTGGGAGTTCATTTTAGTCTCCGATGGAAAACGCTGACCGAGAGCAGGCCTCACAGACCTGGCCTTGAATCTGGGCTCTGCCCCATACCAGTCATGTGACCCGGCCAAGTCACTGAGCCTGTCTCCTCCCTGTGAAAGGAGGGCAGCTTAGTGCTAGGGCTCTGCCTGCCTCCCAGGGTTAGAAAGACATGAGAAAACGTCCAAGAAACACATGGCTAACTGTAAAGCACTAAACACAAGTAAGTCACTGTACATGTGTCTCACATCTCAGGGTTGTGACTGGCAGCAAATGAAATCTCCAGGAGGAGGATCTGATCGGTCCCATTCACAGCCAAGGCCACACAGGCACCAACATACTGACCCTGACCTAGTGAGCCATTCATGTTAGCTGTGGGCAGCTGGAGACCCTGCAGACCAGGGAGAGAGCAGCAGCAGGCAGTACAGAGGACACAGGCCCGGGGGACCTGGGCGGTAGGGGCGGCCAGAGGGTTGTGTGCCCAAGAGGGGCCGCCTGACCGTGCCTGAGACTCAGGCTCCATGGGCCACAGCTGCCTGGCTTATGCAGATGAAACGAACATCAGCTCTTGACTCCAGTCACAGGCCACTCTGAACTTGTGCCTGCATTGTGAGCGAAACAGTATCTGGGGCCTAAATGGTTGCTGGGCCCTCTCTTCCCTCCCCAAACACCATACTGCCTGTTCAGTGGAGCACATGATCTTAACTGTTTTGGGTCACTGACCTCTTCAGGGAGACAACAGGAATAGATCACTACAATATTTATTGAGCTGACCCAACGCAAGTGCGTGCTGAGCATGGTACAGGCATCATTTCATTTAATCCTCAGCAAATCCTGTGAGGGAAAGACTGTTTTATACCCATTTTACACATGAGCAAACAGAGGCTCAGGAGGTGAAGGACATGCTCAAGGCCACACGGTCTGTATGTGGTGGATCCAGTTTCAAACCTAGGCTGTGGGGCCCCAGAGCCTGAGCTCTGAACTGCTCCCTGACCTGATGAACCTGTGATCCTCTCCCAGAACAACGTTCCCGTGCATGCACAGACAAAGTGAGCCACAAATACACAGATCCCCGTCCCTTCCAAGAAAGCCCAGGAGGGTTTCCTCAAAGCCTAAAGGGGTTAGAAGAGGCCTAGGGCTGCGAGTGCGCATTTCCCCTCCTATGTCCTTCCGTGAAGACTTCCTGGCTGAGACACACACCGGCCTGTCTCTTGTCCGATTTGCCTTTCTGTCCCAGAGACTAAACGCCTGGCCTTGGCTGAGCCCCTGCTGTGTGGGCACAGAGCCAGGCCTTGCCACACACACCCTCTCACTCCGATCCTCTTGATAGCCCGGTGATTCCACTCTTCAGATCCTGCTGCTTCTAGAATGATCTGCAATAACTAACAGGCTTTGAACGGCCTGGACTAACGTCTACTTATGATGTTACTGAGCTCACTGGGTCAGAGCTGGCAAGCCTGGTCAACCCTGGCAGTGAGACCAGCTTTGGGCTTTTTGGGCATGAGAGCAAATCAACCAGAGGTCACTGGGCAGTTTAGGGGGCTTCTTCCAAAAGGCAGTCTGACCAGGCTTAGTCAGGGGGACAATCTAGACTCCCGTTTACATTCCAACTCCAACATCCCAACTCCAGTACTGCTTCTTCCTGGAGCCACACCAGGGAATACTGGGGACCCAAAGAGGCCAGAGGGAGTACCCCGCCAAATCCTACAAGGCTTCCAACAGCCCGGTGTTTCGCGGATTGCACGACAGACACTTTCCGGGACGTAAAAAAAAAAAAAAAATGTGTCCACAGGACGCTTGGCCTAGGGGGAGTGTGGGCCAGGGAAGCCAGAACTGGTGCCCTGGCACCTTCCTGGGAGCACCTACCTGCAGGAACCCTGGACAAGGGCATTTCCTCCCTCGCTTGACCTCCTCCCTCCCTTTCCCCTCCTTCTTTTTCCCTGCTTCCCTTTCTTCTAGGTTCAAGTTTTGGGGCAGAGGTGGCCTCAGCCTGGGGGTTTCCTGGACCCCTGGGGTCATGGGAGAATGAGTTTCTTTCCCACCCACAGGGGCTGTGCCTGCCCCGCCGCCACCTTCGGTTCCCCACAGCCCCGGGCTCTGGTTCCTGCCCGCACAGCCCTTTCTAAACTCCACACTCAGGCTCTTCCCGGGTCTGACGCAGGCCGCCCTGTCCGTGTCCCGCGCGCCCCGAGCCCACCTCCCCTTACCTGCGAGCTGCACCGTGAGAAGGAGCCAGAGCCGCAGCTGCATCTTGGCGCGCCCCGGACACCTGTCGCAGCGGGGCCGGGCAGAGACAGTCGAGTCGGGGCTGGAGGTGGGTGGGAGCGGACCAGGCGGGGCCCTGAGGGGAGCGGTGGGGCAGCGGGGAGGGCGGGGTCGGGGGTGGGACCTCCGGGCCGCGGGCACCCGGTCTGGAGTGGGGACCTTAAGGGTTCCGCCCTCACTCTCCCGGTGTGTCAAAGGTCTTGGCTGCGTTTCTGAAGAGCCAAGATGGTCCTGGGGGACCATCTGCTTTCCGGTGAGGACGTGACACCGCTGACCTGCCCCAAGCAGCTGCACGGACGCTGTAATCAGCACCGGCCCTGGGAGGCGGTCAGGACAGGCTGGTTACCCCACAGGACAGTTAAGGCAACTGAGGCTCAGAGCGGGTCAGCGATGCTGAGGACCCACGGGAGTGCTTGGTGGCCCTGGATCCTGACTGGCATCGCTTTGTTTTTCAGCAGCTGCTTGTGGGGATCCTGGGCGACAAAGGCGCACAGGTGGAGGAAGAAGGAAAGGTAACTGCGTGCAGAGTGAGGGAGGTGAGCTGTGAGCTGGGCTGGGGGGAGACATCCCAGCCCTCCCTGGGGGATAGGACGAAACCAGACAAAGTCCTTCAGAGTCCCTAAGAGCTGAGAAGATTATGCTGTCCCCCATATGTAATTCCTACGAAAATATACTAAAACTTTGAAGCTGTGGGTGTCTGTATGTGATGTGTGTGTGTGTTTTGTGTGTGTCTGTCTGTATATGATGTGTGTATGTGGTGTGTGTCTGTATGTGATGTGTGTGTGGTGTGTGTCTGTATGTGATGTGTATGTATGTGATGTGTGTGTGTGTTTTGTGTGTGTCTGTCTGTATATGATGTGTGTATGTGGTGTGTGTCTGTATGTGATGTGTGTGTGGTGTGTGTCTGTATGTGATGTGTATGTATGTGATGTGTGTGTGTGTTTTGTGTGTGTCTGTCTGTATATGATGTGTGTATGTGGTGTGTGTCTGTATGTGATGTGTATGTCTGTATGTGATGTGTGTGTGTGGTATGTGTCTATATGTGATGTGTGTATGGTGTGTGTTTGTATGTGATTTGTATGTCTGTATGCGATGTGCGTGTGGTGTGTGTCTGTACGTGATGAGTGTGGTGTGTGTCTGTACGTGATGTGTGTGGTGTGTGTCTGTATGTGATGTGTGTGGTGTGTGTCTGTATGTGATGTGTATGTCTGTATGTGATTGTGTGTGGTGTGTGTCTGTATGTGATGTGTGTGGTGTGTGTCTGTATGTGATGTGTGTGTCTGTATGTGATATGTGTGCAATGTGTGTCTGATGTGATGTGTGTGTGTATGGTGTGTGTCTGTATGTGATGTGTGTATGTGTGGTGTGTATCTGTATATGATGTGTGTGAGCGCTTTCAGATCCGCAGCCATTCCCATGCTGTAGGAAATGAGGCAGAGGCACTCGTGACCCTAAATGGTCTACGCTGAACAGCCTTTCCAGCTCTGCTGCATCTAGAAAAGCTTTATCCTCCCCCAGGGCATTCCTTCCGCCAGCATACACAGAGAGCCTTCTGAGCCCTGTGCTCAGCCCTGGGAGCCCAAGGGGCATGAGGGCCAGGCCCTGCCCTTGAGAAGCTGACTCTCATGACTGACACAGATGTGTTGCAAGACGAGTTCGGCACAAGTTTGTTGAGGCACCATGTCACCCATTAACTCCCATACTAAAAGTCAACAATCCTGACGCCTATACATTTGTCTTGGGCTGGGTTCTCTAGAGAAGTAAAACCAGCAAAGTGTATGTATACACACATACACACATACATATATGGAGTCCTGGTGGTGCAGTGGTTAAGAGCTGAGCTGCTGACTAAAAAGGTCAGCAGTTCGAATCCACCAGCCACTCCTTGGAAACCCTATGGGGCAGTTCTACTCTGTCCTATAGGGTCACCATGAGTCAGAATTGACTCAATGGCAACGGGTATTTTTTTTTTTTTGTAGTGTATACATATATATATAGAGACACACACACACACAGAAATTTATCTCGAGGAAATGGCTCACTCTGTTGTAGAGGCTGGCAAGTCCCAACTCCGTGGGCCAAGCATCAGGCTGGAGGCTTCTCCTGATTCACATAGCTGCAGCGGCTGACAAACCTAAGATTGGCAGGTCAGATGGCAGGCTGCTGGCTTATGGGCTGCGTAGGTCAATGCATCCCAAGATCAACAGGCACTATGGCAGGCCACTGACTCAAATCCCAAGAACCAGAGGTCAGATGATGACAAGCCAGATGCAGGATCCAGAGTGAGCAAAAGCCAGCAAGCTTTGCCAGAATGTCCATATATATTGGATGCAGGCCACACCCCCGAGAAAACTTCCCTTACAACTGATTGGCTGATCACATCATATGACATCATGGAAGTGATTACATTATATCACAAAATGGAGGATAGTTACACTATTACATAACTGCTAAACTACGTCATTGCATAACTGCTAAACCACTGAGAATCATGGCCCAGCTAAGCTGACACACAACATTAACCATCATAACACCCTAATCAAGTTCTCTGTGCCCAATCCTCTACCCCACATTCATCTCAGCTGGCAGTCCCAGGTGAGGGAGGCAGAGTGGTGGAGGAAAAGAACAGAGCTGGGTTTGAATCCTAGCCCTGCCAGTTAGCAGCTGGGCACTTTGGGGCATTTACTCTAATCTCTGAGCCTCGGTTGTCTGAATTTTAAACAGGAAATAAGGATCCTACCACTGCGGGAGCTAGACCCTTGTCCAGTGATACAGATGCAGAGCAGACCGCGTCCATGGCGGTGGCTGTCACGGGCTGCATGCACCCGAATCCCAGAAGGTTTGGTTCTAAGGAGCTCTGTCCACAGGTCCATGTGGCCCATGGAGCAGCTCAGACATCTTCCCCATTTAGAGGGTGTCCTTAGTATCTGTTTTTGTGAGGTGGTGGCCTCCCTCTGACACACAGCACATCTGAAAAGGTGCCTCTGAAGCTGGTGGAAGTCATCATCCACACAGGAGCATTTCGGATTCATCGGACTTTGGCCAGTGGGGCATAGGTGGGGCAGCTGGGAGTGCAGGAAGGTGTGTTGGTAGTTCTGGTGCTGATGGTATTGACATCCAGGGTGTCTTGAATTTTTTCAAGAGGCTTTCTAAAAGTCAATATTCTAAATAATACACACAATTAGGAGGAGGGCAGTTTGGAGAGGGTGTCATCAACTCAGAGAGATAAAATAGGTCTGACTGTCTGTCCAGTGGTGTATATCCTTATAGAAATGTAATTTTGACTCCTAGCCCCCTCCCCTCCAGCAAAACCCACCTCGGTCACCATGAGGTCCTTGCTCATGGTTGACCCAGCCCCTGGAGTCAGGCGTATCTCCACCTCCCACCAGATCAAGGTGAGGTGGCTCTCTCTGACAGGTCACTCATGGGGCACAGGAAGGTACCTGAGGCTGAGGGCCTCCTGCCTGGAGCCTAGCCACCCTCCTTCTCCACATACAGCCATTTTCCTGAGGTCAGACCACATCCTCCCTCCCCTCCCAGTCAGTGTGTGTGTGTGTGCATGTGTGTGTGTGATGTGTTGTGGGTCCTGTGCCTGCTTCTCAAAGGCTCTGCTCACTTGCACACCAGCCCCATCCCTTCACTGCCAGTCCAGGCTGGGAGAGCAGACAGCCCTCTGCCTGAGACCATCAAAAACCCAGGATGTGAGGGACCATTCAGTTGGGCCACTTGAGAGAACCAGGAATGGACAGCAGGAAGAAAGAGGGGAAAAACAAAACAAAGAAAAAATCCCACAGCGACAAGAGTGAAGGGGGAGGACAAGCACTTAGTGCTTTTTTAACATACGAAGGGCCCGGTGGTAGGGTGGCCGAGACAGGTTGGGCCAGGACCTGGGCCCTCAGCTCCTTCTTCTCTCCCTTGCTAGCACTGCGTGCCACCCAGCAGACCCCCTGCATCTGGGCCAGTGCCCTTGGCTCCAAGTTCCATTCCCTCACACTTGGCCTTGAGGTCCCCTTAGGCACGTATGTGTCTGTTCCCCCCCACTAGACTGAGCACTCCTTTCTCAAGGATGGCTCATCTCTAGGACCTGAGTGTGGCATATGGAACTTTGTTATTGTTGTTCATTGCCATCAAGTCAGCCTCCAACTCATGGTGACCCCGTGTGTTACAGAGTAGAACTGTGCTCCACAAGGTTTTCCTGGCTGTAACCTTAATGGAAGCAGAACGCCAGACCTTTTCTTCTGGGGTACCACTGGGGGGGTTCAAACTGCCAGCCTTTAGGTTAGCAGTCAAGTGCAATCCATTTGTGTCACCTAGGGACCTTAAGTGATAAAAAAAAAAAAAATTGGTTGCCTAGAAAACACAGCCTGCCTCTTTTTACCCAATTTCTCATGAATGTCAGGGTATTATAAAGGGAGCTTCTTTCTCACTGAATGATTCAAAGTTGTCGTTGTTGGGTACCTTTGTGTCGGTTCCAACTCATAGCAACCCTGTGTACAACAGAATGAAACACTGCCCTGTCCAGCACCATCCTCACAATCATTGTTATGCTTGAGCCCATTGTTGCAACTACTGTGTCAATCCATCTCATTAAGGGTCCTCTTCTTTTTCACTGACCCTCTGCTTTACCAAGCATGATGTCCTTCTCCAGGGACTGATCCCCCCTAATAACATGTCCAAAGTATGGGAGATGAAGTCTCCCCATCCTCTCTTCTACGGAGCATTCTGGCTGTACTTCTTCCACAGTAGATTTGTTCGTTCTTTTGGCAGTCCGTGGTATATTCAGTATTCTTCATCAACACTGTAATTCAAAGGCATCAATTCTTCTTCGGTCTTCCTTATTCATTGTCCAGCTTTCGGATGCATATGGGGTGACTGAAAACACCACGGCTTGGATCAGGCGCACCTTAGTCCTCAAGGTGACATCTTTGCTTTTTATTCAAAGGTACATAGTGCATTGTCAGGGTATGGCCTCAGATCACAGACAGGGAACCACTGGATGCATTAGTTAAGGAAAACACTTGCTCTTGTGACCAGTAAACCCCCAAATCTTAGTGGTTTAGC